CAATCCTATCTATTTCACACAAATTTCCATTATTCGTTTAGACGTTTTATATAGTTCACGTCTATTACCTAACTCAACTGATGTGCTGCAGTTCATCTGTGATTTGTGTTCATAAACCACGTAACACAAATTTTGGAGGCCTTTTATGATCATCAGAATAATTAACAAAATGAATGAATTTGATTATAGGTCTCTAGGACTCCATTTCTGATGAGGAAACCTGGATTAGATATCTCAGTCACTTAAGTTAAACCACGTGACTTCAAACCTACATAAAATTTTTTGGTTTTTCAAAACTTTAACTAGTCAAATCAGAAACCTGGAGGTACTTTAGTTTCACGTTTTCGAACTTTGAATTACATTTTGACATAAGTGTTCGGTTGTGTGTAAAATTGAACACATCTTTGCTGCTTACTAGCATCTTTGGTGTCCTTTTTCTCAGTGTCCATTCTAGCAACGTTTAGAAGCCAAGTAAACTGGAATATACTACGATGTATGTGTTGATGATGTTATACTGACCTCCGACAACAAGAGTTTACAATAAAAATGAAATTTTTTGACTGGCGATCACTAACTACAACAATCAGCACAGAATGATTTCCAACAGTTCGACTCATTTAAGACAACAAATTTTCGACAGCTAAAACAAGTCACAAAAGCTATAGGTTCAAGTTTTATATGCAAATATTGTGTAAATTTGTTCAATTTTAATTGTACCAGATTTTATGTTCATTACATTTTTGACTATTCCCCAACAAATAGTCAAGATCTGGCTAGATTTTGAGTACAAATCACTTTTTAGGTTTTCGGACGCTACCATGAAATTGACATAATACGGATTAAGAGATGTTCATCTTTCAGTGTCATAAGTGTTGGAGAATATTATGAGCTTCCTTATTAAAACCTACCCGAGTTTAACGATCGCAGCAGAGTAGGATATAGAGAATGAATATAACGTATTAGTAAATTTAATGTACAGCAAACACAGTCTAAAATAGTGTATAAAAAGAATTAACCACTGAGTTAAATAAGCGCATGATTCTCAAAAAAGCCTGTTGTGCACAAAAAACTTCAATTTTACGACTTAAAAAAAATCAAATATAGGTCCGTTCACATATCAGGACTGCCACACTCAAGAAACTAATGTTCATATCCATCAAAGCATGATTGGATTCATGGAATAAGTACAGATAAATGTGATATATACGTCACATTTGTCAACCGACTACAATTAAATTAAATTAAAAGTGTGTAGACTTTTAAGGATTTAAACGATCGGAAAACAACAAGATTAGCCGAGAAATAACATACTCTTGTATTCTTTAAATAGATCACAGTACGGTTCCATCAAGCACTCTTGGAGATAAACACGATGGAATTGTACTTAGTAAATAAGCTTTAGTAGACGTCTGGAGTGTTTATTCGTTCTTTTTATTTGTCGGTGTCAAGGGTAATCCACAAGATAGTAATCGTGGTAGTAGCCAGTCACGGCTACATTTTTGACGTAGATAATTCGTTACTACATAGTGAAGTGGTAGCAAAGTCTAATTCATAGATCGAATTCTTGATCTTGTTTTATGACTCGACAGAAAATTAAGTTTTATGGAAAGTATCCTGAGGTGGTACGCACTTACTCAGCATACAATGCCTGCATGCTTCATAAACACCTCTGTAAAAATTCTTTACTTCTGCAAGCAATTATTAAAGACCAAGGGTTTGGTTGTCCCATACATTTTGGCAGGATGACAAAGAGTTTATACATGATATAAAATGGATCATAAATGATTGGCGGCATTATGAAAAGTACTTTCCATACTCAGTATTTAGTTAGTGGTTACACACAAGTATAATTAACAGTTATTGCCATAACACTTAGACATATCAACAAGATGTTTTAGCCTTATCGTAATTGTAAGAAAACAAAATCGAATACGCACTCTCTCTTTATTTTTCTCGACATTCGTCGGTAAAGTCGAGAGTGGCAAACGAACGAAAAAAGATGTGACGGACTCAACGGAATGGCAAATAAATACTTTAAAGACTGTCAACCGATTTTACACCGAGGTCATGAAGAGTGTGAGTGACTATTTGATGAGAATTTTTAGTAGATGTGTATGAACATGATTATCCTGCAAAACCTTTTATTGTGTTTACTCAATTTTTTAGGTTCACCAGAAATTTACTCGACCAAATGACCATATAGAATAATACCCAAAGTGTCATAAGTTGAGGTGACAGATAGTCACATCTCTTGGTACGACTTTATTTTACAAGTATGTTCTATTAATAGTTCGTCCATAATTTAATAGTTGGATCGAACTCTGGTCATATGGTTTAAACAAGCTTGCGTATTGCTTAATAATAGAAGCGAATAATTATCTCACCAGCCACATAATACTTATTAATTGTTTATTACCTTTAAATTAGTTGGAGTGCAAACAACGCATGTAACTATTCTAAGGTTACTGCCATTCCTAAGCCCACACAAATAAGGAATGTTTGGTATGGGGTCGGCAACCCCACCATATAAAAAAAAATCTTGCCGAAAAAACGCCAACAAGAATAAAGAAATTCAACCATAAAAAGTCGTCCTCTATTCAGATTGCCTTCAGGATTCAGATTTAGCACTTGCCTTGTGATCTTTCCATAATTCCCTGTTCAGCTGAAAGCTTGTTCCTTTTCTCCCAAAAGGGGATGTAGCTTTCCTAGAATTACTGTCTGTTCCGACACCGGGTAAGAAATAAGCGTTAGATACAGGGTTTTCAGCCCCTTACCTTAGTAACCAACCCTGCTAAAAAGCGCTAACCAGATTAAACTATTTGAACCGTTTAAACTTTGTTTTTCACGTTGAAGGAAAATTATGATGCCTTAGGATGAAGGCCCATATTCTTTGGATGTCACGAGGCCGATGCTCCTTACAACAAACAGAGCAACAGTTTTTACGGGTACATGGAAGTTTCAGACAATGCGGGAGATCGGGAGGACCAGACAAATAGCAACAGAAGTAATGCGATACGATTTGGTAGAATTCGGAATCAGTGAAACCTATTGGACCTTAGCTGAACAGCAAAGGCTAGATACGGGAGAGATGCTGCTCCAAAGAAGCACTAAATGCACATATAAGATAAGAATCTCATGGACTCAGGATCATCAAAGCAGTTTTGAAAACAATGAAAGAGGGAGATGATAAACATACGTTTAATATAAGGATAAAGTCAACCGTAGAGAAGTGGTAGAGAAGTGGAAAAAGACCTGAAAAACTCAACGAATCTACGATAACTCTGAACAACAGGTTCCAAGCATTACAGGATCTACTGAAAAAAGAAGAAACCAGCATAAAGGACAATTGGGAAGGAATCAAAGAAGCTCCGAATTCAACGTGTCATTATATAATGGGCTACAATAAGGATCAGCATTAAGAGTGGATCTCTATGGAAACATTAGACTGTGTGATTACTCACCTGCAGAGGCATCACACTACTGTCAGTACCAGGAGAGGTTTTTAGTAGAGTTTTGCTGAACGGATTGTAAGATTCAGTAGACGTCAAGCTTATAGATCGGCATATCGGATTCTGTAACAATCGGTGGTGTACAGACTGAATCGCAAAAATACGGATTGTCATTGAACAACCAATTGAATAGTACACGTCACTATACATCAACTTAATTGATTATGAAAATGCGTTTGACAGTGTGACTTTATGGAATCTTCCTCGACATTATGATATCCCGGAGAAGATTGTTGACATCATGTGGAATTCATACGGTGGACTACACTGCGAAGTGGTGCATGGAGGACAGCCGGCAGGTGCATTCCAAATGAGGACCGGAGTCAAACAAGGTGGCGTGCTCTCTTCCTTTCTTTTGTGGTGGTTGACCGGATTATGATGACTTTCACATCTTGGGGTAAGCATGGAATAAAATGGACAGGTTGGATGCATCCAGACGATGTGTAATTCGCAGTTAACGTAGACTTTTTATCTCATATGGACCAAAACCTCCAGTCAGTTCAATAGAGGCCTCTGCATCAGTGGTCTTGAATATACACAAAGGAAACAGCAAGATATTCAAATACAGCATGGAGTATAACAACCCAACGACAACTGATGGAGGAGCTGTGGGAGAGGTGGAAACTAGCACGTACCTGGTCATCATCTTCTGTGAGCATGGAGGATCTGATGAAGATGTAAAGAAGAGGATTGGCAAGACAAGGACAGCATTCCTGCATTTGAAGACCATTTGGAACTCAAAATGATTGTCAACCAATATCAAAGTGAGAATCTTCAATACGAATGTCCCGACATTCCAGTTGTACGTGGCTGCATGCTAGAAAACTACCACAATCATCATCAGAAAGGTACACGTATTTACCACAAATTGTCTACGACAGATACTTGACGTCCGTCGGCCGGATAACATCAGCATCAGCCTACCATAGGGGAGGGCATACCAGCTTCCAGGTGAGGAGGAAATTAGGAAAAGACGTTTTAAGTGGATAGGACACAAATTGAGAAAATCACCAAACTGAATCTCGACGCAAGCGCTAGCTTGGAATTCTAAAGGTTGACAAAGGCTGAAGAATACACAACATAGGGAATCGGAAGCAGACATGAAAAGGATGATTGGCAACTAGAAACAACTGGGAAGGATTGCGCAGGACATGGTAGGATGGGGAATACCGGTGAGAAGCTATTGCTCATCCATGAGTTATTACTGTGAAAATAGCGCTATTGCTAATCAGATTATTCGAGCCATTTACTTCGAGCATCTTTAACAAATATTACGATACAAAATAGCCACGGCAACATCAATGGTTAAATAACAAGTGTGTTCGAAAATATATCTTCATTTTTAAGCAAACTATAAGTCTTATATTTCTATCAAAATAATCACTATCAGAGTGTAGACAAGCATGTTATTGACGGAAAACTCAGTGTTGTTCCCTGAATTTTGTTTTTGTTGATCCATTCGCATGACCTTGCGGTAAATAGTAAGCTTTCAAATAAGTTATGTATTGTTGTATGGTTCATACGAATTTCTCACTAGAGTGCAATTTCGAAAGTTCAACACAATAAAATACTAGGTTTTAATCGTATTTATCACACAAATTTAACAGAAGGTTTTCTTGAAGGAGCTACCAATGTGAGTAACTTGTTTCACAAGTTAACAATATTATTTCATTTATGAAGTCACATAGTAGCGTACTGCAGCGACTATAACCTATGGACGAACCAGTCACATATGTGTTAGAAGGTCATGAAATTAGGCGCAAAATTCATTCATACATTTGCCTAAATAGAATTTCGACATTATAGCTGATATAAGTGTGTAATGAAAACAATAAATCTAATTTTTAACCATAACCATGAACTGTAAATGAAAGTTCTAACTAGCTTATAACACTCATTCAGTCTTACTCAGTAGGTGGTCACTTGAAGAGAAATGTAGATTGAGTCAAGCGTTTTTCCTATTATTTATGACATATGAAAACACTATTTCGAACTTGAATCCACTTACAGCGAAATATTTCCTATATTTTTTATCAGTGTCAGTCAAAGTGTGAAGTACTTAAGTTTTTGTTTTTTATTCAGTTAGTCACCTACCGATCGATCCAAAATCAACGGTTAATGGAAAATAGTAAAGCACGTTCTTTAGAGACTGGATACATTATTCTAAATTTTTGGAATACACATCGACCTTTCGCTAATAATAGATTTTCGTCGTTGCATATTGTTGGGTCTCAAAAAGTGTATTTTCTGACTTTAGATGCCAGATAAAATTTATGTTTTGTACGTTTAAGAGCGAACAGCACTGATGATGACTACATAAACCGTAAGCTATACGAAGACTCGCATGACTACACATCTTATACTCGCATCACATAAGAAATCATAAAATAGTTGGATGTCAAGAGATTTTAATAAGACCGTTCTTTAGATTTGATTTCTGCTTGTGGTTTTGTTCTATGTTTGTTTTCTTCAATATAATTCTTGCGTTTCCCTTTAGAAATCAGCTTTTATGTTTTAATGGATTCTTCACACGACTCATGAACTTTTCTGCCTTCACATACTCACAGTAGCATTTTCTTCTTGTGATTCCATTTCTGATCTTAAATTATCAAACCAATTTATTATAGTCCAACTGTGTATGACCGGTAATCAAAGGCTTAAATTCATTAAGAGGAAATAATTATACAGCACTTGGGCTTGGTGTATATGCACTTTTGTTTTCCTAGCAATGGTTCTTAATTTGGCCCTCATCAGTCTGAAAAGATTTAAACAACCATTTTTAGTTAAAGCTTGTTTAAAAGCCATCAACTTATAGACATCTATTTACATGTGGATTAATATTTTTCAGAATCCTGGCGATTTATTTTTAAATGGAAATCTTCAGACTTGGAGAGGTCGGACCTCCTAAAGATGATGATTTTCATCGCTTTAAGATCTTCGTTAAAGACGAAACAAACTGGAAACGCCGACATAAAAAGAAGAATGTAGAAGTTTTTACACGCTCAACCCCACATACTAATATGAAAATGATCAAAGTTGTAGCCATATTTCCAGACGTATCGTCGCATGTGATATATGACATGTTGCATGACAACGACTACCGATCGTCGTGGGACAATACTATGAAGGAGTCGACTGAAATTTGCCGTATTACATGGAACTGTTCTATCGAACATTTTGGATGTAGGTTCCAATATATTTTAACGTTTGTAGTCAGAGCACCATTCGCCTTTGCTAATCGCGACTTTGTTATGTTGCGCGCGTGGCAACCATATGAAAATGAGTACATTATATTCAATCGATCGGTATTTCACAAGGTAAGATTGTTTAACTTTGATTTCAACGAATAGAAAGTGCCACCACGATCAGATTATGTGCGAGCCATGACATTCATTACTGGTTATGTTATCACTGCCATTAGTCCTGTATCATGCCAATTGATGTATTTAACGCAGAACGATCCGAGAGGTAAACAATGTTTTTGGTTTCGACCGCAACTTGTAAATTAAATCAAACTGACCGTACTCTAGTTTGTTTAGTGTTAATCGTATTTAGTAACTTTTGACAATATTCATCGTTTTTTCATAACCAATTGGAGGTAAAATTTATGAAAAGTCCTAAGAGCAACGAATATTGTTCAAATATTATTTTTACAAATCCCAAATTTAGTGTTATGAAAAGTAAAATATCTTTGATGTAAATTTACATTAAAATATAGTTTAAAAGATGGACTTTATGAAATATTACGTTTCTTTTCCATGAAGTTAAACAAGCTAGGAACCGTCGACTACATGCAGAATAGCTGAGTTTAATCTTGCTTCTTGAATATTCTGATTTTTATGTTGTATCAAAATACTTGTAGTATTTGTAAATAACCCAACAAAATTAAAAATTGGAAGAAACAACGACAAATAGTTTCCCATAGCTCCCAGTGTTGTGAAATCTATTTTTCTCTTAAAAACAAAAGATATACATATCAAAAACTTACTTGCATGTAATGTATCAGTCGTTTAGTCACTCAGGAGAGATTAAGGTCTTTTGAGTAGTTTTTTTCTGACAAATTGGAAGAGACTAAGCCATACTGTAAAATTTAGTCAACGGTTGGCAAACTTCGATAAACTTCTGTTCCATTTTTTATAGTGAATTTATGGCGTCATTTTGTTTTTTTTATTTGATTGCGGGATCTCAGAGCCTTCAGTCGTATACTTTTAATTAAAACTCACGAAATCCTTTGAAATAATTGCGGAAATATGATGACATATTTTTCAATGTGGAATTTCGACACTGTTCAAGTCATTGCTGTCTTCGCATGGAGTTATTTCTGAGTGTTTATATATTTTTAATGTCTATATCAAAGATTATGTTCAGCTTAAGGCGAAAGTATGCCAATAAAAATCGATAAGTTGTAGTTATGAATATCATTTTTGAGCAAATTACTAACCCTTACAAACAGACGTAGTTAATTGAAAAAAACCAAATAGAAGTAACTATGGTTAGATTAGGTTCTATAAAAATCATATCTTATATGATGACTAGCTTAGTAGATGATGAGAGATTTCACAGTGTGAATAGTGGCGCAAGAAAATCAATTCACACAGAATAAGTAGTAAGTAAAGAAATTTGTTGGAATGGATTATGGAAATAACTGATGTATGGATCAGCAAACCACAGCTTCTAAAATTTACATATATTTGGTACTTATCAAAACGTTACTGATCACAAAAATCAGGTCACGATCATTTTATATAATACAGACAAGCATACAGCGGACAGCGAATTGTCGGCCTCAAAGTGGATAATAATAAGGTTTGCTTTCGCAATGCCTAGCTGACATTCCAAAAAATAATATGATAATGCCGTAGCGTAATTCCACACACTGTTTTCCACATAATTACAACTAACTCTCCACATCAATATACAAGCATAAGAAGTAAAAAGGGGAACCAGTATTGGTCAGAAAAAAGCAAAATTTTTAATCACTATTCAGAAAGATGAAAATGATGGGTTTGATATTTGATGAAGCTTTTAGTGAAGTGTCTGATAATCGTAATTAATTTTCTGGTATCTACTTTATCTAATAAAAAGTCAGTACTACTATGAGGATAAAATGTTAAAAACATTCTATAAACTGCAACGCAAATAAAATAATTTCTATAAGTGGCCAGATAAGGTGGAATTAAAGGTGTTATCTTTTTCTTTGTTCTTACAAATGGTAATATTTTCGGTTTTTTTGTATAAATTTTTAATGTAAGGCAGAATAGTTTGAAGATATACTCCAATTTTTCAAAAATCTGAATTTAAAACCCAAAAAATAGCAATATAAGTGTTTATCATACATATATTCACTGTTTTAAATTTTGGCTTTGTTGTTTCGTTCACTTCAACCTATAGGTGATATTCCATCATGGGCAATAAACCTAGCAACCACAAAGGTGGCCCCACGTCTTGTAAAGTCACTTCATCGAGCTGCTCTATGCTACCCGGGTTGGAAAGCTCAGAACCGACCAGAATTTAAACCATGGCGAAATCCCGAACAACAAAACAAATCTGTACCTGCACTGTGTTATAGTGATATCTTGAGGGAGCCCGACTTTTCTCTAAAGAAGGTTCATGAGAAACATGTGAGCAAAGAAAAAGCCCTGAAAGAAGTTGGTTTACCGCTTGACACAAGGTTGGATGAAGATAGCTCCTAGTTATTTAATTTTTATTACGTTCCACTTGTTTATTTTCAAACCATGTTATATAACCTTTCATAGGTATTGGTTGGATCAGGTTTATTGTCTGATTAATTGGTTTTCTTATGTGATTTACTGTTTATTATTCTTGTATTGGTGTTCCGTTATGATGTTCCGAAATCCTATGTAGTTCAATATTCTAAGAGAACAACATATAATTAAAGTTTAAATTTTTAAGGAAATGAACAATAGATGAACTCAATGTTTCGACTTTGTTTTACGCACTCTTTCTGGGAACTTCTTGTATAACGTTGGTTAAGCTATTTTGTATCATTAAACACATGTGACGATAAGAAGCCGCAGGATTACATTTACATCGTAAGCAAAGTGAGACGATCTCACAAATAAACAAGATCAGCGCTGTAAGTATGCAATCCATTAAATTTTAAAGCATTTAGTCTCTAATTACAAGTAATATCATCGATTGCTGCATGCGTATGCAATAAAAACAAGACTTATTCGAGGTGAAACGTGTCTCATTAGAGGGATTTGTCAGCGAGATAAACCTGCAGTAAGTGATTACTCCAATTTGTCCGTTTACAGATCATGTCTAATAAGAAATCTAACCACATTATTTGATTTTGATTCACCTAAGTTATAAAAACTATGAACGACTAATTTGATTTCCAATTTTCAAGTATATTATGCCATCTAGTTTGTAATATTCATCAGCTGATATCATGTTCCAACGAAAATCTTTCATCACGTTCATTACATTGACTAATCTGGTAGAGTTGACATTAGAATCGAACTACCATTCTGATGGCTTTAGTGATTAGTAAGAGATTATTTAGTATTGAATATAAAGTTGACTTTAGAGTAAAACTAAAATTTAAATGAGCGCTGATTTTTCCTGAACGTATCAAATATTTGGTTATCGGTAAGTACCATTGAAAGGTAGTCATAAAGGATAATTAGAAGTAATTTTGTTGGCTTTCCTACTTCATTAGCAAGCTAGTAGGGTGAGAATTTTTATTTGAAACAACATTTAATCTATATGGCTTTAGTATGTGTTACACGTTAAGAGTTATTATATTTGAAGTAATGAAGTGTGCGCGTTTATTTTATGAACCAGATTGTATAATATTTTTTAAGAATCATATTTTCTTTACTACAAAAATGTAATCCGTCGACCATTTTGAATACCCTGTATCTAATTTCCTTCGACTGTCACAACTCAAACGTTTAGATTATTCAGTTAGACTGAAACTTCAAAATCTTAAAAACGTTTATTAACTGATCAATAGTAGATTCAGTGAATGATCATGAAAATTTATTCTGATGACCTTAAATAAACAATTTAAAGTTAGTCTGTATAGTGGTATTTTCTTCAATAATCATAAGCTGAGCCGAGCTTTAAATATTGAGATAATGTTTAGACTTTACGATATCAAAAAATCTTTTGAACCTCGTTACGTGGTAGAAAGTGTCGATTTCAAATTGCGGTAATAAACACGTTTACATGTTTATTTGGTGTGACTTTGAACAAAAACGAACTTAATAAGGAAAAGTAGAGGGTTAACTGTATCCGTTGTTACAGTAAAATGAGGAATTAAAAGTATGATTATTTGACAGGAGAATACTATCTATTAATAAAACCACGGTATTTGATAAAAGTTAACCTATCTTTATCAAATACTATTAATTTTTTTGGAAAAAATGGCAAAGAACATTTGCGTTTAGTCTGAGTGCATTATAAATAAACATTTAATCAGAAGGCATTCAGCATTTACTCATCGTAAAAAACAAGCTAACAAGACATCAAATTTAGTTAGAAGTTTCCCGTGTCGTCTACAAGCAAAGAGTCGGTAGTACTGTTGATTAATTATATTTGTGTATTTTTTATGTGTCCTACGGAACATCCAATTGTTCTGTGGAAAAATACAATAATTGCAAAACATTTGTATGTTAGGCTGAAGAAATAAGATACAATTACATATATATATATATATATAACGCTCAAATATTTGAAAAAAACGGAGATTACGAAGGTCATCGGCCAACATCTTACGTCATCTCCTTGGTATATATTGACGATGATAAAAGTTTCATTTGAATGTTATGTTAAGTTTCCGATAGATTGTCGATAAAATCGCATTCTGTATAACTAATTTATTTTTTGTAATCTGTCAGATGAAAAAAAAGAATATATGATATACTTTTGGAGCCATAAAATATTGCTAATAATTTCTGAAATAATAAATAAAATATCTTTAGGTTAAATATAACTTAGGAATTAAAATATCCCTAATTCAAGGTAATAATTTTAGCAATCACTTTTTAACTAAAATCAAATGTACTTGTAAATGATATATATATACGTGAAAGATAAGATTAAGCTTTATAAATAACAATTATTGGTAATTTTTATAAATAATCAGTTTTGGCTTTTTTTATGGTTTATTTTTTGAACATTTTATCTTACTAATTCTTTGACAACTAATGAGAGAATAAGTTCACATGTTGTTGAGTATGATTAAAGTTTATTTAGATGAAATAAATCACTTTATATATGTCAATAATATTCAATGTATAAAAATGGAAAGTTATATCCTCATGAAACTGTTTTATTCCGGAACCCTATAATCATATTAATTTTTAAAAAAATTGTAATCATATCAGTATAGTTCATTATGAAGAAATTTTTCTCACTTGACTTTTGAGATAAAATAGTAGAAACGTCTTCCTTTATTTCGAGCAGTAAATAGACTTTTCTAGATAATTGAAATTTGGCTTAAATCGTCCAAACATTATCTGTATTAAAATCATTAATATTTTTAAGTGTATTTTTATTTGTAGTAAAGTAACAAGAAATGACTAACTATTTTAATGTCCTTAAAATGAAATAGAAACGTACTATTTAGTATTTTAATTCTTATATTGACATATGAGAAAGTATTAATTTATTGGATTTATTTAAAAGAATTAGATCTAATTCATAAAGTTTTCTATACTGAAATAAATACATTGGATTAAGTATATACCAAATTTAATATGATTTAATTTCATTAATATTTTGTGTTACTATTTATTATGTATATGTTTGTTAGAAACAGCTACAATTGAAAGCTATAAAACGGTACACGTATAAAGAAACTTGTAATTGATCATGTTTTTCAGGAATATACAATTAAGTAAATCAAACTATTGAGAAAACAATATACCAATAAAAATGAGACCAGTTAAACGTTTAAGTAACTTTATTTAATAAGAAACGATTACTTACCAGATTATTGAAAGTAATTAAAATGAAAGGATATTACTTACTGTTTATTGTAAACTAGAGTGATTATTTTAACAGATCTAGACTTAACGAGTATTATCAGTTTAAGGGTTGTGGAGAATGTTAAGTTTTTGATTGAGATCTTGAACCGATTGATGTTAGACCGCCATAGAAAACCTGAAAGCACTAGACGGCCGTTTCACCCTATTGCAGGACTCCTCAGCAGTGCGCATCCACTTTCTCGCTCGCGGGATTCGAACCCAGGGTCTCCAGTCTTGCGCACGAAAGCTTAACTTACTGGACCCCTGAGCCAAGTTTTTTGCAGTAGGTTAAGCGTTCGCGCACGTGACTAAAGACCCTGGGTTGGAATCCCGCGAGCGAGAAAGTGGATGCGCACTGCTGAGGAGTCCTACAATAGGGCGAAATGACCGTCCAGTGCTTCCAGGTTTTCAATGGTGGTCTAACATCAATCGGTTCATAACCTCAATCAAAAACGCAACGAATATTATCATAAATACGTACGTATATATATAGCTATTATCAAATAATAGCATCAAATAAAACAAAGAATACATTTACTGTTGCACAAGAAGAAACTTCTAATTTTCAAAATATAGATCAGTGTATTTTAATTGATTTAAACAGCTGGAGCAAACAAAAGTACAATTTTAAGTCAACCAGAAATGTACATGACAAACTTCATTCATTAATTACCATATAGACAAACTAGAAAATTTACGAAGATAAACTATAGTTCTCAAACATTAAACCATACAGATGGCCATTATATTTTATTATAATCTTTATTATAGAGTATCTTGGTAAGATATAAGAACCATTCACTGAATATTTCATCTGTAAACTTCCATCATTTGTCTTTCACATTCTGACAGACTCGTCAAGTTCACAATTCCTTTCTATTTTCTCTCCTATTTTCTTCAACTCGATCTTCTTATCCTTCTGCTACCAGTTTTTTCCACTTTTATCAACAGACATAAGTAGCATATACCACAAACCTAGTATGATTTTCGAACTATTATGCTAAAAATACATTTGTAAATTAAACTACCATATTTGTAAATCACCGATATATTCTTGTTAAAACTTCATTAATGCTTATATATCAGTCTGTAATATGTGTTCTGCGTTTAAACAAGTTATCCTGACTTAGGATAACATTTGTTCATTAATAAACGCCAAATTTAATAGCGTGCATTATTTAAATCATATATTATCCATTAAGTTAAAAAGCAACTATGTATACCTTTCTTTTCATGATATTGTAAACAAGCCACCATGTTCTCAAAAGAGAATAACAAAAATTAAATAAGTAATTTCTTACATAGCGGTTAGTTAAAAATCTGTTTTACTTTGTTAGATTCATTATTTCAATGTTTTAGTTTGTTTTGTTTTTTTTAATTGGTAAAAAAAGATTTTATGTGAATATTCCATTAGTAATTCTTTATAATATATTGATAAAATTTTCTCATTTATATTTTAAGCTCTATTGTTAGTAATTGAATAACTATGCATAAAGTAGTTTATCAAATATAAAAAGTATAACAGAAACAAACAAAAAATTATTACAATTATTCCCATTATATGAAATATTATCATTGTAATATTATTTCGAGTCTTTTACGATAAATACTTCTTTTTTTTATAATGATCATATGATATGTGTATTTCGATTATTAAATAGAAAAGTGCATT